GATATTTTTTGGTTTATTTATAACATGTACCTTTTTGTGAAAATGTTTTGTTTCTCTTGCTATCTCAAGCACCAAAACCCCAAAGCAAAATAAATCTGATTTAACCCAAAATGGGCCATCTATAGCGTATTTTGGGGAAATGTAGCCATTGAATGATAAAAGATAATATCCAAAATCTGAGTTATATGAAATAAAGAGTCATTTCATATAGATTTGTAATATGTTCCAACTACTATGATATCTTCTGGTTTATGTCAGAATTTAGAAAAATTCTCGTGCCTTTGGTCTCTTTAAATGATTCTGAGACGGGAATCTTGATGGAGATGTTAAGTTGTGGAGCTCAAGTATCGTTACTATAAAGAGGCAATATGTGGATGGAAAAGGATTGTGATTTTTCTCTTGTGAACTTTTTTTTACCACAGTGAATTAACTAGAGCATACGTAGTCTCACGTTGACGTGAACCTCTATAATTATTGCATGTTCTTTTATGTCTTTTTTCCTTATTATGATTTTATTGCTCTCAGTTTTACAGAATTAGAGTTTATAATTCTCAATAAGAGATACATAAAACCCAGAGCAATACCATTGTTGTTGTAGTGTGACCCTAATTCTTGGGTTTTGGGAGTAGTAGTTGGGTTGATCTTGGAGAAATCAACTTATAGACTAGGATAAATTATTGTTGCATTTTCGTTAGCTGTTCTCTAGCTGGATGCTCGAGCCCTTGAAGCAGAGAAACCTCACCCACTTCTCGTCGAATTGTCGCTCGAGCAACATCCATTTGGCTAGCTGCCTCTCGACGCTTCTCGAGTGACAATATTATCTGGACAGTTTTGAATTTTTCACGATTTAACATGTTTTAGACTCCTATTGATCTTCAACTAGGTTTTTTGGGGGTCTATATATATACAAACCGTCGTATTGTATTGAACATACATGAAAATGTTCAGAGATTGAAAGAGAACAAATCTACAACATCTTGTGAGCTTAGATTCAATTGAGGGTATTGAGTCTTGAGAGTTTAGATTCAATTGAGAGTATTGAGTCTTGACATTGTACACACATTTCTATTGGTTACAATGAACTTTCTTCTCATCTGCCCACGATTTTTCCCAAATTGGGTTTTCCACGTAAATCTCGATTTATTTACTTTTCTATTTTATTTCATTCATATCTTATGATCCGTATTCATAACAAGTGATATCAGAGCGTAAGGTTGATCTCCGTATGGCAACAATGAAGTATGATATTTCGATGTTGGATCGAAATACGAGGTTTAGTTTATGGCAAGCAAAGATGAGAGCAGTTCTTGCACAGATGGATTTAGAGGAAGCCTTGCTTGACTTTGATAAGATGCCTTCTACCTAGATGCAAGAAGAGAAGCAGCGTAGGGATCGAAAACTCATGACTTAGATTCATCTTCATCTTTCAAATCAAATTCTTTAGGATGTTTTGAAAGAGAAAATTGTCATTGTGTTGTGGTTGAAGTTAGAGCAGCTCTATATAACAAAGAGTTTGACCAGCAAGTTACACTTGAAACGGTGCTTGTATTCTCATAGGATGTCTGAAGGTGGGTCATTGGATGATCACTTAACCTTGTTCAAATAAATCATGGTCGATTTGAAAACTTTGGAGATTAAGTGTGACAAGGAGGACTTGGCGTTGATGTTGTTGTGTTCGTTGCCGCCATTATATGTAACTTTTAGAGATACTATTCTCTATAGTCGTGATACTCGCACAGTGGAGGAGGGCTATGATGCCTTACAATCTAAAAAGAAGTTTAAGCATCTTGCGGAGGGATCTAAACGTTAGGCTAAGGGCCTAGTTGCTCGTGGGAGGAGTCAAGATAGGAAGCTTAGCAAGAATATGAGGGACAAATCAAAGTCGAGGCATTTGGAGAAGACGTGTCATTATTGTAAGAAGAACGGGCATATTAGAGCTGACTGCTATGCCTTGAAAAATATAAACAAAGCTTTGGGTGCAAACAATAAGGAAAAATGCCATGTTGATTCAGCGGAGGCTGACATTGTGGAAAACAATCAAAGCGTAGGATAGCTTCTTGTGATCTCTGATATGGGATCCAAACCTTGTGAGGAATAGGTTATGGATTCAACATGTACCTTCTATATGTGTCCAAATAGTGACTGGTTCACTACATATGAAGGGTGAAAGTTCAGGGAACGTTCTACAATCTCTTGAAAATTCACGAAGAACGTTATGTTATGTCAAATTCAAGTTTTAGATATTGCCAAGTTTACGTTCCAAACAATTTATTATTTGACCTCACCGCGGAATTGATTAATCAAAGCAACACGTCACTTTAATTAATTGTCTAGTTGATTAAACATACAGTCCAGTTAATTCCTATATTGAACTGGCGGTTTGCATAAAGTAAATAACATAATACAAAACACAACTCACGATATGATGACGGAGAAACCCCAACGTGGGTAAAACTCCGGGACCAAGCCAGTAAGTTCCACTATACCAATTCAGTCAGTACAAGTTCTGTCAAACTCCGTACCCAGTCAGACCCACTGTTCTAGTTTCACGATCTACTGCTGTAGACACTACTAGTCTCCTGCTAGCTTCCCGATCTACCACCTGCAGCCCAATCTACTGTCCAATACAGCCTTCTGGTCTTTTGCTGATTGTATCACCAAGTGGATTCCAAGAACCTCCTGTTCTTGTCCAATTTCTGCGCTTGTCATCCACCTCCCTCAATCCCTCTTTGAGAGAGTCCCTTCCTCAACGGATGAAGAAGTACCGATATTTTGTCTTCACAAACTTGATGTTTTTCCCAAAATATTGGTTGCTGGATCACAAGAATAAGATTGATGAATTCTCCAGTTGGTTGTGTTCTTGGATCTCTTCACAATGATATGAAACTGTTCTAATATGAAAGCACAATGAAGCAACCTTTATTTTCGTTCACGGCCTTTGTATTTATAGTTGGGGGCAATTTGGAGTTCTAGGCCGTGTCAAACTTTTCAAAAATCGAAAATACGATTTTCCATATAACACTATCGCTCGAGCGAAAAGCGAGCGGAGAGCGAGCGACAGTACTTCGCTCGAGCAAAGTCCGGGCGAAGATCGAGCGACGTCCATTCTACTTCTTCTTGCTCGAGCGGTGGCAGGGCGAACAACTAGTCAACCTCCAACGCCGTGTTCTTGATTTTGACCTAACACTCAAACCCTAGTCCCTACCACACAACTTTTCTAAATTCCACCCTAAGTCCTTGCCTTTTATAACATTGTACAATTGAGTCCCTGCCTTTTACAAATTTACAATTTAGTCCTTTTGTCCACAGAATCACCAATAACACCTTTAGACCTAACAAACTACCCCTTTGGCATTCTATGACAAAACTCTACAAATGAAGTCAGGACAATAGAAAATAAGTCAGGACTTGACAACCAAAAACTAAACTACCCAGTAAACCCAATCATTGAGTCTTGCATTCCTTCGTGTACCTGTTTCTGAAATCCACAAACTCATATACCCAGTGTAAAAGCACGTGATACAAGAAATATAAAGATTACATAAAGCTCTTAATCACAAATCAACCTAATAGTTTGAGACATGATATTGATGCCAATCAAAACACCAACCAAGACACCAACACCACTAAACATCAAAACTCAAACAGATGGATGTGATACGGAAAGCAATGCAACGCTCCCCCTTACTGCAAGCTTTCATGTTTTTATGCAGTAGGTAAATGTATCTATATCTCTCCCCAACGACCCCTAGACATAGCAATGCAAGTGATGACAATCAATGACGTCATGTGCATGCATATGTAGTTACTCTCCTATGTGTATGCTCAATCATTATTATTATTATTATTTCTCCCCTCAATTACACATTTCTCTCCCCCTTTTTGTCACAAATGCTGAAGGGACATGCATTAAGGCCAAGTCAAGTAATATCACATAATTATCAAAAATGCAATTGATAACATGTAAAAGCAAAATCAACAAGTAGTATAACTCCCCACATACTTAGTTCAGTCCAGAATGGAGTAATAAAAATATAAGTGACTCATGTGTGTAAAGTGTCACTAATCTAATGCAAGCAGGACTCCAAACCTTAATTTTGTGAGAAGGGACATGCCAATCACTGCTAATAAGTATGTTCTCCTACTAATGAGAGTCAAACCATGTAACGCGTAGTAGGACCTATACTTATTATTTTTACGTATCTCCCCCTTATTATGAGCTTATTTGTTTTCAATTTTTCAAAGAATTTTAGCTCATCATATTTTTCTCATTTCTCTAGCTCATTAATTTTTTGTCTTAAGTTTAGATTCTTCTCCATTAGGTGACTAAGATGACCCCTGTAGCGAGCTTTAGGCCGGTTAACCCAAGTCAGTCGACCATAGGCACCAGGTTTTAAGAGACCCCGCAGGCTTAATTGCTCGGGTCAAATAGGCCCCGAAGAAGAACATTAAGATATGAGCATTTAAAATTGGGGGAAATTTTTGGGTTAAGGTCTACAAAAATATGGTCAAGTCATGTTCAAAGTCACCCCATCAACATGTGACAGCCATCCCAAATCTCACACATGCGGTAGAGTCCCACGAACAAGTTCATAGTGTCTGCAGTGCAAATGGTGCAAGAAGACACTTATACATATTAATCCAACTAGACCTAACCAAGCAATGGAAATTATTCTACAGCTTATCAATTTTAGCTCCTACATGATACATCGTGCAAGCTCAAAGTCAGGTGTCATGTTGTAGAAATTTCCATAACGAACTATTTTTGTCTTCTTCAAATTTTCAATGTGTTTGTGTTTTTCATTTCTCCTAAAATGAATACTACACACACAAAATAAAATAACGTCAAACACACAAAGATAAAAAATAATTATGCATGCGCCAAAACTCATAGGTGAAAATGCACATGCATGAAAACAACAAAATAAAAAAAATATACACGTGATGCATGCAATAATTATATATCAATCAAGAACCAAGCATGCATCAAAAATACCTAATCAAGTAGGTATATAAATGCTCTTTCCTTTAAGAGCACGGCAATCTCTAACCAAATTTGGGAGATCACTTTTCTTCATCCAAACCTGTTCAGAACGAGGATTGTTTCCAGACAGCTGTGTCACCAATTGAGTCAAACGATTCACTTGATTAGCAAGGAATCCAATTTGACCAATAGACACCTGATATTTATTCCTTTTCAGGCTCAAGTCTTTCCTATTGTTCAGGTACTGGTGACATCTAGGGCGGATGTGACTTAACTCCCTACAGTGAAAACATGTAGGGGCAAACCTAGGACCTATGATATGCTTACGCTGATTTCTATTCCTAGGCCGATGGGTCCTACGACGTCTGGAAGACCTAGATCCTGGAGTTCCCACAACATTTGGTATGGGATTAGTCACAATGTTTGGTTGGTCAGTAGCATGAACAAAGGTGGTCTGTGATGTACTAGTAGCATTCAGATCAAAACCTAGACCTCCCCTATCACCAGCCGGCTTGCCTATACCTAGAATATTATCTAGCTTTTTAGAACTGCTAGGAAAGGCAAGTAACTGAGACCTAGACAACTCTAGTTCACTCTCAAGGTGTTTAACATGAATAGCTAAGGTCTCATTCACAATAGTCAACTCACTTACTCTCCTAGAGGACATCTCATTCTTACTGGTGAGATCACTAACCTGAGCCTCTAACTGTTCCTTCTCTAGTCTAAGCTCCTTCACTTTCTTATTCATTGCTTGGTTAGTGGCTAAGATCTTGAGGCTTTCCTCATACATCCTATCATAGGCTATTTCTAGGTCTTGCTCACTTCCACTCTCATCACTAGATTCTTCACTACTATCTAGGTCCTCTTTCCTATCACTCCCCTGTTCGGATCCACTTTTACCCCTTGCAACGAAGGCCACATATTTTCCACTCTCTTCACGGGTGGATTTCTCACTCTGATTGTCTGAACTAGACTCGTCATCAGTGAGAGTAGTATTCATAGCCTTCTTTTCAAATCTCTTAGCACTAGGGCACTCATTCCTCACATGACCAAAGCCGCGACAATTATGGCATCTCACGGATTTGGATTTCTTCCTAGATTTACTCGGGCCAGCTCTTTATTTCTCTTGACGTTTCTTTTTATTCCTAAACATTTTTTAGAATTTTTTAGTTAGGTAGGCCATCTCCTCATCATTGGGTAAATCAAAATCAGAAGATTCCATCCGGATATTCCTAGCCGTTTTCAAGGCTATGGATTTTTCTTTAGCGGGATTGTTTAAGGTCAATTCATAGGTCTGGAGTGATCCAACTAACTCCTCTACCTTGATAGTGTCTATGTCCTTACTCTCCTAAATTGCCGTAACTTTAGGCCTAAAACGCTCAGGTAAGGATCTAAGAATCTTTCTCACTATCTTAGGTTTAGGGATTTTCTCACCTAGGTTGAAGGACGAATTTACTATGTCATTTAAGCTCGCATAAAAGACATCAAACATCTCATCGTCTCTCATTCTTAACTCTTCAAACCTAGTGGCCAACATCTGCAACTTAGAACTCTTAGCTGCCTGAGTTCCCTCATGTGTGGTTTCTAAAATATCCCAAACTTCCTTTGCTACCTCACACATGGACACTCTCCTAAACTCCTTGGGGGAAACTGCCATAAATAGGGCATGGAGGGCTTTGCTATTTAAATTACTACTATCCAATTGAGCTCTAGACCAGTTCTCGACAGGGGTGGGAGTGACTACACCATCTATTATGGTACTAGGGGCAGACCAACCATTTACCACAATTTACCAAACACGCTCATCTAAGGATTTCAAAAATGCCCTCATTTTCACCTTCCAATACGTATAATTGTTCCCATCAAAGTGGGGTGGCACATTCAACGACATACTAATCTAGACTAATGTAAGGTCAGGATTTGCACTTAGGCTCTGATACCACTTGAAAATTCAGGGAACATTCTACAATCACTTGAAAATTCACGAAGAACGTTATGCTATGTCAAATTCAAGTTTGAGTTATTACCAAGTTTATGTTCCAAACAATTTATTATTCGACCTCATTGCGGAATTGATTAATCAAAGCAACACATCACTTTAATTAATTGTCTAGTTGACTAAACATACAGTCCAATTAATTTCTATGTTGAACTACCGATTTGCATAAAGTAAATAACATAATATAAAACACAACCCACAATATGATGATGGAGAAACCCCAACGTGGGTAAAACTCCGGGACCAAGCCAGTAAGTTTCGATAAACCAATTCAGTCAGTACAAGTTCTGTCAAACTCTGTACCCAGTCAAACCCATTGTTCCAGTTTCACGATCTACTATCGTAGACACCACTAGTTTCCTGCTAGCTTCTCGATCTATATCCTGCAGCCCAATCTGCTATCCAATACAGCCTTCTTGTCTTTAGCTGATTGTATCACCAAGTGAAATTCTAAGAACCTCTTGTTCTTGTCCAATTTCTGCGTTTGTCGTCCACCTCCCTCAACAGATGAAGAAGTACCGGTGTTTTATGTTCACAAACTTGATGTTTTTCCTAAAATATTGGTTGCTGGATCACAAGAATAAGATTGATGAATTCTCCAGTTGGTTGTGTTCTTGGAACTCTTCAAAATGATATGAAAGTGTTCTAATATGAAAGCACAATGAAACAACCTTTATTTTCGTTCAAGGCCTTTGTATTTATAGTTGGGGGGCAATTTGGAGTTCTAGGCCGTGTCAAACTTTTCAAAAATTAAAAATACGATTTTCCATATAACACTGTCGCTCGAGCGGAGAGCGAGCAACGTCCATTTTGCTTCTTCTCGCTCGAGCGGTGGCAGGGCGAACAGCTAGCAAACCTCCGGCACCGTGTTCTTAATTTTGACCTAACACTCAAACCTAGTCCCTACCACACAACTTTTCTAAATTGCACCCTAAGTCCTTGCCTTTTATAACATTGTATAGTTGAGTCCTTGACTTTTACAAATTTACAATTTAGTCCTTTTGTCCACAGAATTGCCAATTATACCTTTAGACCTAACAAAGGGGTTTCCAGATGTGCAGTGATTAAGGGAAATAATGCATCTTGCAAAGTCATCAGAGTTGGTACTATCAGGATCAAGATGTTCAATGGGATTGTTAGAACACTTACAGATGTCATGCATGCTCCAGAACTGAAGCGAAATCTTATATCCTTGAGTTCTCTTGATTGAAAGGGTTATAAGTACATTGGTGAAGATGGAGTACTAAAAGTGAGCTTGGGTGCTCTTGCTGTCATGAATGGGCATAAGAATTCTGTACAATTGTACATTTTGCAAGGTTCTACTCTTATAGGAGATGTAGTAGTTTCTACTTCTTCTTTGACGGAGGATAAAGTGACAAAACTTTGGCATATGCAGCTTGGAGATATGAGTGAAAAAGAAATGGCAGAGTTGAGCAGAAGGGGGCTTCATAATGGGTAGAAAACCAGTCAGATAAATTTTGTGAGCACTGTATTCTTGGAAAATAGAAAATGAGATCACTCACAGGGTATCTGTTTACCACTGGAGGCTGTGCTATCAGCTAGAAAGCTACTTTGCAAAATACAGTAGTTTTGTCGACAACAGAGGCAAAGTACATGGCCATTATTAAAGCATGTAAGGAGGCTATGTGGTTAAGTGGATTAATTGGTTAAATCAATGAAGACTTGTAGATATCTACAGTGTACTGTGATAGCCAGAGTGCTATTTCTAACTAAGGATCAGAAGTTCCATGAGAAGACTAAGCACATTGATGTGACGTACCATTTTATGCGTGAAGTAGTTGTTCATGGTGACATTGTAGTGAGCAAGGTTGATACCAAGGAGAATCTTGCTGACATGATGACAAAACCACTTCCCATTTCTAAGTTTGAGCATAGCTTGAACTTAGGAGAAGGTATTTGTCATTGATTTAGCCCATTAGGGCTTGGAAGAGATGGAGTGGTGTTTACTTGGAGTTGTGTATTTTGGAATTTCGTGCGTTGGAATTTGGCTCAAGGTGGAGATTTGTTGTAGTGTAACCCAAATTCTTGGGGTTTTCAGAGTAGTAATTGGGTTGATTTTAGAGAAGTCAACTTATGGACTGGGATAAATTATTGCCACATTTTCGCTAGCTAGATGCTTGAGCGCTTGACGTAGAACAACCTCGCCCTCTTCTTGCTAAATTGTCGCTTGAGTGACATCAATGTCGCTCATTGCCGCTCAAGCAACAGTATTATCTAGATAGTTTCAGATTTTTCATGATATAACTCATTTTGGACTTCTATTCATCTTCAAATAGGTTTTTTGGGCGTCTCTGTATATACAAAACGTCGTATTGTATTGAGCATATATGAAAATCTTGAGAGAATGAAAGGGAATAAATCTACAACATCTTGTGAGCTTAGATTCAATTGAGGGCATTGAGTCTTGACATCGTAAAGACACGGGGCAACTTTTTGCCCAATTTGTTGCCTTGTTTAATTTTTTTTATTTTTTTTTAACATTTTGAAAGTTTCGAATTATGTTACTATCAAAAAATAAAATACAAATTCAAAATGAATTTTTAATGGGTAAATTGTTTAGAAGTAAAATTTTTTAATTATTTTATTTCATTTTTTTCTTCACAAGGCGGGTTGGGGGCGGGACGGGGCGAGGCGTTCGAGATGGGTTTTTTTTGCCTTATTTGGGGTAGGGCCCCACCGGGGTGGGACGAGGCGGGGTAAATTGCCATCCCTACTTATGCCCAACAAGTGTTGCACATTGCATTGAATCTGTGAAAACTTTTTCTTTACTCCTGATGATAACTTGTTTGTTGAATAATCGGAAAAGAGAAATTAATCCCAATGCCCATAACTAAATATTCTCAAGCATACAGTGGCATGAATTTGCATGTGTAAAAAAATAACTATGCTCCACACTCTATGATACAAAAGATAAAAAAAAAATTCTCTCTAAGATTTGAAAAATGAGTGCGAGACTTCTTTATGTTATTATTTTAATTGGTACCCTTAATAGAAAATTCGAGCTGATTGTGCAAGTAGAATCAAGCCCAGACTTCTAGACTTCTATTAGATAGGTATTCATAAATCAACATAATTTCTTCTCTTTGAATGCAGACTCCTAAATGCTTCATGAGATTTCGATGCTAAAGTTTAGCTGATAACTTAATTCTTGAACTTATTTGGTCTTTGGAGGGAATATTTGACAGCCGTTTGACACTAATTTCCTGACCCTCATTGAGCGGTCCCTAAAATGGTATTTGTTTTGCTAAATTTTACAAACGCCGTCTTCCACTCACTTTTCACATTTGACTTAGCATGACATTGATTCCCTTGGAATTTCCACGGCTAAAGAATCCCATTCCAAAGGTTCCGCCAGATGAAACCATGGTATCATCATCTCTAACGATTTGTATAGTAGTAATAATATCTATTGCTTAAAAGATTTTCTGGATGGACATAAAAAAGGTTATGACAAACACTAAGGGGATATTTTTATCTGATATTTTCATGGTTCCTGCTCTGTACGTGTTTCAATTTTTTGTTTTTATTTATTTTTTAATAGAACTGATATGCAAGTAATAAGCATTAGTTTGAATGCATATTGCCCGATCGTGGGCTCCAGTGTACACTATTTAGTTTCTTGACTTGGGAATCTAAAGTAGTATTTACTATTTAAGGTCAAGACTACGTTTATAATTGAAAGAATTGAAGATTTTCTCAAAAACTCCAACTCTAGGCTATCAAGGTCGATCTATGGTATGAGGAAACGTGACCAGTATAGGTCATGCTTATTAGATTACTGAAGCTCACTTTTTTAACTTTGTTCTAGATTTTATGTAAAAGTTGTTGGAAATAAATAATTATGGAAAGAGAGGCCAGAGAGAAAATTCTGAAATTTCTGAAAAGATATTTGTATTTTATGGCCTGGCTCTATAAAATGTCTCAAGCACAAGGTCTTTTATAGGTACAAAGAGTCCCAAATACATCGTACAAATTTAAGA